GCCAGAAGGTCTCTTGCAGCTCCCAGCTCTGCAGGAGATGGACGACTGCAAAGGACCTGCAGACTTTTAGTTAGATTTCAGAAAGCTTCCGACTCTGGCCTTGCTTCTGAGCATCTCATTCCCTGGGCGCAGACTGCGCTGTTCTCAGACTGCACAATTCTGCGTTCCCACTTGCATGATTGATCAACCGCCTTCCTTCTGGCTTCTCCGCTTGATTTACCTACCTGGTCAGCCCCTGCTTGCCCCCAGACACTGGCTATACGGCTGTGAATAATAGAACACACATTTCATTTATTTTTTAAAGAAAAAACAATGCTAGTACAATGCGGCAAGCTAAATTTCCAAAGCAGATGTATTGCAGCTTCACTCCTATGGATGATTAGCTTGACCTCACCGTTTTTGTACCTCTCTACCTTATTTACTTTCATTTGGCTGGATACACAAATCCTTTGAGAATGTGCTTCTATATCTGTGGCACATCAAAAGCAAAAGGACTATGCTTTGATGCACCTCCGAATGATGCTGCTGCCCATTGCTTTCAGTAGGATATGAATTTGCATACATTAAAAGCAATGGCTAGCGCTTGGAGACACATTCAGGTGTGCATGCCATTTATTCCTATAATTCTTAAAAGCAAGACTATCCAGTGAGCTCTGCAGAGTTTCCATGGATACTTGAGACCAAGCAGTGGAACAGGGTCTTTCACATCAATGGCTTCTTTTAAAAATAATATTAATGTGTTTAAAAGAAATAGTGCTCAGGTAAGCAGAAAGCATATACGCAGCATGTTACTACTATATTATGTTGCACATGTTCTTGAACAAGTTGCTGAATTTTTAGCCTCATATGACACAGAAGATCCTCAGATGGGTCTATTCTATTTATAAAACTAACTTGCCATATTTCTAAAAGAGAAAATCCAGACCCAAAAACTGTTGAGCATTTTTTCCAAATTTCCCCCCCAAATACAAAGTTTTTACCTATTTTTAATAATAACAATCCCAATATGGGCTGCCATGCAGGTTTTCCTGGACATTTTTAGCCGCTTTATGAAAATTCCATTTTTGACAGGTGAATCCCATTCCGGACATATGGCAGCCCTAATAAAACCATTGCTTGACCACTGAATATTTTCTACAAGAAATTCTCATATTGACGTGCCAGGGTAGATTCATCTACTTCCTCCAGAAATGCCTTGACTGTGGTTCGTAAGCCTCTTTCTGTCAAGGGTCTCATTCCTTCAGAGGTAATCTCTCAAGGACCACATACCAGCAGATTATGGAGCCAGAGGAAAGTAATCTGGGATAAATACTTCATTTTTCACCATAGATACCTCAGATTAAAACTCCCAGTCCTATACAGGTCTGCTCAGAAGTAAGCAGCCCTGGATTCAATGAGGATATAAAGAGAATTTTTTTCTTAGTACAACAGACCAAAACAGCTACTGTTATGGAAAGTAAGTGAAAATAGTGAGAATGCAAAGAACTCACAGAGTAAGCCATTCTCTTTCTAAAGTTGATTTCTAGTGACTGGAACAGAATGCTTTTCAGAGAGAGGTAGCATTTCCAGTTTAGTGTTGCTCAAAATTCCCTCAGTAACGTCCAAATTTGTTTCTGATTGCACTTTGAACAAGACCAGATGGCCTCATTGAGAACTGCATCTCTCCCCCCACACAAAGAAATTTGAAATCAGATTATTTCACCTTCTCTCAAAATTCATACAGATGTTTCAACTGAGTAGAACCACCACATTTTGGACAAAACTAGATGGTAATTCCTAAACATATGTCAACTTTGGCCAAGATGCAGAGTGAAAGGGACTCACATGTTCTTATGCCACACTTTATCTGAAGCCTGGTGATATAGGTTTGTGTGTCAATCTGAAGTTATTCTATGATTTATTACTGTAGATCATGGCATACGTAAGAAAATGGACATAACCTAATATGACAAGAGATACCTCATTCGTGAACTTTGGTGAGCCTGGTACTTGTCTGATCCCAGACTCCTTTGCTAAAAGGCATTCAGGCATATTCTGAGTTCTTCACACCTTGCACAAAGGTCAGCACATGCAGATTTAGTTGCCAAGTACAGTCCATTCATCCCCAGAATAGAGACCATCAATATAATGTTAGTATAATTTGAAGGCAGAGAGCAGACAAAAGATAACCAATCAAAGTCTACTAGAAGAACAGTGCCTCAAACTCTTAATTTGCAAGATGGTGGGCTGATAAATTAGCAGGAACTCTGGGGGAAAGACAAAAAAACTACAGGAATTGTTAATCTCAAAGCCCCCTCCCTTCTCCTTGAAGGAAAGGGTATAAAGGTGCCCTCAGATTTGTAGCTAGTGGCTCTCCTAGCTCCAGCGAGGACATTGACTCAGTGCTCACAACACGCTTACAGACAGGGATACTCTTCCTTCCCTGGTCTCCATTACTGAACTTACTATTAGTGCGAGTCCTGCTGGCAAAATTTTCATTTCTATAGGCTTTAAAAATTAGGGAATCTTTCACTCTTCATATCAAGGTGTAGGATTTGTAGGATTTCCTGCCTGCCTGCTTAAATTGTAATTTTGCAGTCTGAAACAGCGTTTATATATTCTGTCACTTTCATTTCATATAATAAATGAAGCTATTTTTAACTTTTGCATGAAAACTTTTTGTGGGCATAAGATTAAGGGTGAAACACATAGTGATCAATGGATGCACGTTGTAAACCCAGCAAAAGAAACCAAATCTCTCTGACAGAGTGTATATGAATACACCTGAATGGGAGACATGAACATGGGCTCAGACATAAACTGTAAAATTCCCTCCAGGGCCATATATAGTGGAACACAGCACTAGTTTAGTGCCCATTTTCATATTATTTGCAATTTGATTCCCCCCCCCCCGGAGGCAGATAACGTGGAAATGAGCTCCAAACTTGCACTATATACCACTATAGTTCCAGAAGTGGTTTTTACATTGTGTGACAGCTCAAATATAACATGGAACATTAGGGGGAAATTGTGAAAATGGGATAAACTGCCATGTGAATGCCACTCTCCATCTCATCAGAAGCGACCATGGCCAGCCCAAGGCGTTGTGCTGTCTAAAAGCAACAAAACCAAGTAGCAACCAACTGCAAAAACAACGATACAAAGATATCCAAATAATAAAATAGAATAAAACCAGCATACTACCATTAAAACCAGCTACGCCTTAAAAACAGCATAGTCAGTTTAAAACTTTTAGGACCACATCATCTTCTTTTACAAGAAGAAAGAAGAAAGCCATTGGAAGTAAATGAGTTTTCACTGCCTGCTCAAAGGAGCTGCCTGCATAAACCTTCCCCTTGCCCCAGGAGGGAGTTTCACAGATATGGAGTCACTGCCAAAAGGGTTCATAATGAGAAAATATGTATTTGATTGCACTTGGGAGTCTTCCTTTGTTGACTTTGCAGTACAGTAACAAATAATATTCCATATTTTCCTCCACTAAAATGAAAGTAAAATTTTTGGAAAAACATTTTCTATGAGCAAATTTCTCTCTCCGCCCCCTTTCCTGGCACTGATATTTTATTTATGTACTAATTTTTGTTTAATTATATTTAACAACACCATGTGAACCAGGAGCAGTCTTGCATTTTAAATTTACAGTCCATGGCATCCTTCAGGATTTGGCAGGACAAGTTGGAACCGCATCCCTATGCTTGCTTGGAATGTAACTTAATTACAACATTGCTATTTATTGTGATACCAGAAGAAATCTTGAACTGCTGGATGCATATTTGGACAGAAAAAGTAATTTAAATTTCCCTGTTTACAAAGCGTCAGGGACAGAAGCTCCCCTCTTCAGGGAAATTTGGCATTAGCCTCTAATTATTTGTTATTTTATTAGGTACAGGATAAACAGCTGAAAGATTAAATTGGGGGGGTGGGGTGGAATGCAGTGAAGTTCATAACATAATTAACAAATCACTAATGCCATATTGAGGAAGTATGAACTATGCTTCATAGCCAAGAAACGTTTAGATGCCATGGTAAGGGGAAAGTAATTGGATAAGTATCCTTGCCTTTCATCCTCTGCTCTCGAAATCATATTTACAAGTCAGACAAATCATTTTGAGTCAGACAAATGTTAATATTCATGCAAAAAATTAATCCCCACTGGCTGTAGTAACATTATGCATGTTTAATACCTATTATGTATTCTTATTCTTATTCTTATTCTTATTCTTATTCTTATTTTAGTATTTGAAAGCTGTTACATGACAAAAACAGCTTTCATCTTCAGCGAAATGGTTCAGAAACCAGATTTATTCAGGAATTTCACTTCCATGTTATAAAGCTGTTTCAAGAGTTTGATTCATTTTGTCATTGGAATTTGGCAAAAAATAGCCATGACGTCTGGGATATATGCAGTCCTGCACCCTGCTTATAAGAAGGGCCCCTTGGGTGCCCACAGATAACAGGCAGGGTTTGAAAAAGGCAGCCTTCCCTTGTTTTGATCCCAGCATCTGCCACAGAGGAGGTTCACTGACTGCTGCCAGCGTGGCCAAGAGACAGATCCTCCATGAATAAGAGCTAAGTGACTAGCCATTGCCATGTCTTGCTGAGCAGAGTTCCATATTTTTATCTTATCCTATTTATAAGGTATGTTATTTACTGCACTATCATTAAAAATGATTTACCACAATATATGTATCTGTTATAGATTTGTTAATTGCTGTGTGACTCTACTGCTAATCAGTTTCATTGGATGACCCAAATTCTAATATTTTGGTGAAAGAAGGAGAAAAAATATCTCTAGCCACATTAAAGACGTTATTTAGTTTTCCATTAGATGGGTATCAAGTTACAACTAATAAATTACTATTTCTGAAATTTCATCTTGAAATGAAACTGCTTGTGGTAGGAAAAAAAAATGCTGTTTGGCTTATATTACCAGGCTTGCACACAGATAATAGAATCATCGAGTTGGAAGGGATCCCGAGGATCATCTAGTCCAACCCCTGGCAATTCAGGAATATGCGGGGATCAGATCTGCAACCTTGGCATTCTCAGCCCCAGGCTCTAACCAACTGAGCTATCCAGAATGACTAATAAAACATGTCCCTGATCACACATGTTGTACTTAACATCTGTGTGACTTGTGTTCTTATGCCAGTGTGGTTTTTCTAGATCATTGGCACAGGTTTGCAGCACATCGTAGAGGGGCTGCACTCTGCACTGGTTTGGTTTATTACTGGGAAGGATTAGAGAGAACCACTGAATTTTTTAAAGAGTTATTTATTGTTGCAATTGCCAAAATAGCATTAAAAAGTAAATTTGTTCTGGAGTTGGCAAAAACATCAGGTACAGAGTGCAGAAACGGCACCTGCCCAAAGATCTTGCCCCCGATAGGCACGAAGGCAAATCTGTCTCCTATCAATGGGGTTAGCTAACGTACACTCAGGTCTGCTTCCTCCCTGCGCTTGTCAGATCCTCCCTAGAAAGAAGCGAAAGACGCCAAGGAGACAGGAGGCATCTGGGTAACCATCAGGTTTGGACCACAACAATGGGCACCATTTCAACTAGGGCAGCCAAAATATTGAAGCTCCTATTTGATAATCAGTGGTTTTCAAATTAATCACATTTAAGATGTGTGAATGTCACTCAAACCTGAATATGGGTACCTCTTTGCAGATCTGGAAGGAAATTACGGTACATGGTTTTGCTGAAGGGTCAGATAACTAAAGTCATGTGATACAGATAAACTTGTTACTAGAGAAACACACATTGCTGTAAGAAACTGCAAAATGCTTTTGATGCAATCTACCTAGATCAAAGATTTGCAGTAAAAGACTCACTAAAAGACCTTGGTGAGGCGAGAAATGTGGGCAAAAAACCTATGAGCAGGACATTTTGGGCAGCTTTGATGTCAAAACTGAAAACTTTCCTCTGGATATTTATGCCAGTTACACAATCCACTGCGGTGCCCTGGAAGATGCTGTCCTGCGGTCTAGCTTAACTACTCTCCTCCTAAGAGGAAAAGATTACATTGATCTGATAGTGCGCCAGCCTCTCAACAATGTGACTACATGACTGGGAGTTATTGTTCCAGCTATCACAGATTTTCATCTGAGATGGGCCGCAGTATGCATGCATGCTGTATCAAATTCTCATCAGCAGCAGTTTTCAGAAGGATGGAATCTACAGAGTTTGGCACTGCAGATCTGGGCCTTCATTCTGGAGTGGAATTCAGTACATGGGGAAAGGACTGTGAAGGGGAGATTATCTTGGCAAACAGGAAAACGCTCTGTAGACCCCTTTAGATTAAAGATCTGTTTTCTGTCTTTGTTTCTTAATGCCTTATCTCCAGGCAATTCCGTAGTCAGGAAAAAAACAAGTCTAGCCTTTGCTTTTGCACTGCTAAATCCAATGTCTGGCTCCTTCTCTTAATACTCCAAGTATTGGTTAAATCCTAAAATTTACTTAATCTAATAAGTATGGGTACCTTGCACCCACAAACTCTGGCACTCAAAATCTATAACAATATAATATCAAGCATCAATAGAAGAATAAAAAAGCATTAATAAAACCAAATAAAATTGCAACCCACCAAGTTCCTGGCAAAATAAAAGTGTCTTTTCTACACATCTAAAAACTATAATAGAAAAAACAGGGGGGAATTTTTTGTTCTGGGTGCTATTCCCAAGAAGACCTTGTCCTTCATAGCCAGCAGCCAAGTTTCAGATGGTGGCAAAATAAGGGGCAAACCTCAGAGGGTGGACACTGGAAAGTCCTTTAAGTATTCTGAATCATGTAGGGCTTTAGAAAAGCCAACACTTTGAATTGGCATTCCTCAGATGAAAACAGGAACATTTTTCATCTGAGGAATGTTGGAGGGGCTGCTGCTCCTTCAGCATCTGTGTTTCTGCTGCCCCCAGAAGTTCTCATTCCCCCACCAACTGACCCTCATTGACCCCCCACTTTCTCTGTCCCCACCCCACCCCCACAGAGCATTTCCTACCAGAGGAAGGGGGGTGCCAGCACTACACCAAGGGGACTCAGCATGTTCTTTTGGGAATGGGATCCCTTCTGCCCACGGACCCCCTCGCCCCCTCCCAAGATCGGAGCATGTGATGAGCAGGTGGGTCTCTGTGTCTGTGTGTATCTGTCTCTCTTCTGCCCTTTGGCACCTGTGTTCCTGCCCCCCCCCCCAAGTTCTCACTCCCCACCAACTGACCCCCCCATTTTTCTCCCCCCACACAGAGAATTTCCTATCAGAAGGTGAGCGAGTTCCACCACCCCCACCCCAACAGACACAGCAGGCACACCCTCCACCATCCTCAGAAAACCTCTTAATCCCGACTGCATTTTATTCTTTGGTAGATTTACAAAAAGAAAAACACACACCACTAAATGAATGTTAGAAAGAGGCAAGTTCAGACGTGCAAAGCATTAAAAACAGAAGCCTTCCAGGAAGGTGCCCGGCAGCCGTAAAGCTTTGGCGCAACCTTTCTACAATTGCCAGACATTTCCCAGAAGGCACTGTCAGCCCCAAGGGATGCGCCAAAGCCCCTCCGGGAGGCTGTGCCTGCAGCCGTGGGAAGCAGCCGAGATGGAGGAGGCAAAGGGGCGGCAGTGAGATGGGGCAGGGGAAGGGGGGCAGGAGGCCACGCCGCCATGTGCTGACCGAAAGAAGCATGGGCAACAAGCATGTAGTATCTATAATTCTTAAACTGAAAAATGTATTTACTTGTTTATTACAATTACTTCCATGCGACTCCTAATTCTGAATGCTTTCAGAGCAGCAGATAATTTAAAATCATAAAACTATAAACGACAATTTTATATTAACGTTTTAAGAACAAAAGCATATGTACAGTCTCATGAGAAACAAATAAAAATAAGGACAAATAAAAATGTTGGAAGCATACATAGCATAAAAATGAATATAAAATTGTTTTAAAAGGCCCAGATAAAAGCTCTTCCTCTGGCACTCATCAGGTGAGCCACCTCAGGAGAGAATATTTCACTGCCATGGGGCCACAGCAGAGAAGACCCTCCTGGGCACTTCCACTAGCCCTGCCCGGAGAAGGAGGTTAAGCATTTTTTTAAAAATCCTCCCAAATCTCAAAGCCATACACTTCTTTCCAGGTGATGGTGATGATTACATTTTCTATGACTGCTTACAAAACTTAATGTGGATCCCAAACCCCCCAGGTGTCCCTGTTTTCCAGGGACATCCCTAATTTAGAGAAGCCGCCCCAGTTTCTGATTTGATCCTGGAATGTCCCACTTTTCCTTAGATGCCCCTATTTTCATTGGAGAAACATTGGAGGGTATGGAATTACCCAAACCCCGAGCTGTCTGAAGGCAATCCTGTATAGGGAAGGGTTTTTTTAAAAAACGTGTAATGTTTTATTATGTGTTTATACATGTTGGAAGCTGCCCAAAGTGGCTGAGGCAACCCTGTAAGATGTCTGGGGTATAAATAGTAATACTAGCATTATGGAATGGGATGTCCCCATTTTCATCAGAGAAATGTTGGAGAGTATGGAATCCTCTTTGACAAGCTTTTTCTGTGGCCTTGTTCTGGACCCACTGCTCTTGCCAACCATGCCTTGTGTTGGTATTAGAGGGAGTTTTTCAGCAAAAAAAATAAAATTGTTTTCTTTTAATATAATCATTTGTTGTTGTTGTTTAGTCGTTTAGTCGTGCCCGACTCTTCGTGACCCCATGGAGCAGAGCACGCCAGGCACATTAGCAGGTGTTATTACAGTAGTGAGATTTGATGGATATCCAGTTATTAACAGTGAACTATTACAAGGGTGGAAGTCACTATAGTATCGGAATTATAACATAATTATGTCAGAATTGACATTTCCTACCTAACTCTTTACTGAAAGTAGATACATGTCTATCTACTGAAATGTCCTCTTCTTCAGTGTTACTAGAAGTCTAAGAGGCTTATGATTGAACTTAACATGGTTTTATGGGCCATTGGCAAATTTAATATGCCAGTCAGGGATGCACCACAGAAATCTTCTGGCTAACAAGATTCATGAGAGAAAAATGTCTCTGAAAAGCAACAGGAATAGGAAGAGGCAAGCTCCAAGACAAAGATAATGCGCCCAAGTATGAATGCATATTCATAGATAGATTTAAAACCAAACTGTAAATCAGCAGTGTAATCTTAAAAGCATCTGAAGTGATTACTTTTTAGACTTCCTTCTCCTCATAATCAAAGATATAGATGAGCCTGAAAAATAGCCCCATGTCATCAGAAACACCCCGGGGGGGCTACTGTTTCTCTCTCTAAATGGCATTAGATGACTTTGATGAGGCCCTCAGCTGATGAAGGTAATGGGGCCTTTTATATGTCCAGCTGACCTGTGTCAATTGTTGCTGTTTTTGTGTCTTGAGTATATGCTATATATGGTAATTTGTGGACCTACACAACACAAAACACTGTTGCTGTATGTAGGTTTTGTTTTATTAGTTTTTTATCTTATATTTTGGAAATGTACACCCAGTGGGTTTTTTTTCTTTAATTTTTTGGGGGGCCCCAAGAGAGTGGGGCCCTAAGCTAGAGCTTGTTTAGCTACATAATACATAAATCTGGCACTGTGCCTATGGCACCTCAAAATTCTCCACCATTTGGCACCCCTCACAATAGCTTGGACCTTGCATCATTCTGAGGTGCTGGGGGGCAGCCGGGGGCGGGGGGAAGCTGCCACACACACAAAAAGGAGAATATTTTTCCTGCTTGGGGTGGGGCTCAGAAAAAGGAAAAGAATCCCCCACACACTTTTTTTTAAAAAATATAATCCAATAACTTTCAGCTTTGGTCTAAATGACACCCCTGCAGCTGCCTCAAGAGAAATTCCCACCACCAGGACCCCAGCCCTGGAGGAATGAATGAATGAATCTTTATTTGCGTCAGCCATCAGCCATAGCAATAAAACAACAAGAAGATATACAAAGAATAGAAATAAAAAGTCAATTATATAAAATGCATTTTAGGGTTTTGAATCAATAGTCAAATAGTGGATCTTATTCTAATTGCCCCAGCTAAAAAACTTGCAACCTTTGCTGTCACCTGCTCATC